TGGGTTGTAACAACCGGAGGCGCTCGGGCTGAGCCAGAGGCGGGGTGAGCTCCCGCCCTGCCAAGGTCACGGCGCCGCGATCGCTGCTCGCAGGAGGCCGATGCATCCTGCGGCGGCCGGGGAACGCACCAGCGCGAGCCCCGGCTCCGGGCGAGCGGCCGCTGCAGGCGGCCCCCGGGGAATGCCACGGAAAACATGTGCAGGCAGCGGCTCAGCAGGTTCCTGTTCCCGGCTCCACTCTCCGGGAGCGCCAGGGGCACACGCGGACACGCGGTTGGTTTTCTCCTGCCGAGGGGACCGGCACAGGTGGGTGCTGGGTGCTGCTGTGCTCTGCCCGCTGCCACCCCACCGTGGGGTCGGGCTGCTCACACCACCCCGTAACCATGGGCCCCATCCAGCCCTTGATTCCGGAGGGGAAAAGCGTCAGCAGGAAAGAAACAAAAACAGAAAAAGGAAATTCACTGGAGCTGAGCGTGCAACGAGTTCCCAGGGTGGTGGCAGCAGATAAGGGCCGTGTCTGAGTGCTCCGAGCGCTGCCCGGCTCTCCCAGCCCTGGGTCCCACCACGTCCAGGGGTCCCAGCCTGTCCCTGTGCCGGCCGTGGCAGAGCAGCTCTGGGAGCAGGATCCAGGTGCTCTCCCACCATCCCAAAATCGAAGCCACTGGCGCTACAGGCACCTGTGTCAGCCTGTCGGGCAGAGCTCAGTGCTGCTGTGGGAGCCCCGAGCTCTGCCACCAGCAAAGCTGCCTCTGCTCCCACTGCTCCCCGGAGCACCCCAACACCGCAAATCTGCTTCGGGTGCTGCCCGGGGCTCCTCGGTGTGGTGCAGAGGAGGCCACCCAAGGGTGGTCTCCAAGCACAGGCAGGAGAGCACCCGAGTGCTGGGCACTGTCACACAGCCCTGCCACGCCGACACACCCCAAGGTCACACCTGTGCAGAGCTCAGCCTGCACTGCCGGAGCCCCGGGATCCAGGAGGGTCCTCAGAGGGAACCAGGGCACACCAAGGGCACCGGGACCCCGGAGCCCACACTGCACCAGCCCCCCAAGTCTTCCAAGTGGGACAAACACATCCCCTTGGTACTCACTTCCCGCTGCCCGGGAAACCACCGGCATGAGCCGGGACCCGGCATCCCGGGAAGGGGCTGCTTCGTCCAGGAAACCGGGACACCCCTGCGGGTGGGATGCGGACCAGAAACGGCAACGGCGACAGCCAGCCAGCCCCTGCCCCACCGCGGGGCTCCCAGCCCGTAGCAGGGCGCGGGGACCCCCAGCCCGACCCCGGGGGTCGCCGCCAGCGCCAGGAAATGCTGTTGAGGAGCCGGGGGCAATACGGACGCTAGGATTCTACGTGAGCCCGGGGATGCCCGGGGATCCCCCCGGCCCCGCTTGGCACCGGGGGCGTCGCAGGCGAGGGAAGCCCCGGTGCTTCCCCGGGGGAAGCTCCGCTCTGCGCGGCGCTGCCGGCCCTCCCCTCCCCGCCTCCCGCCCCACCGGGGGTCCCGCTGCGGACTCACCTGCCTGTGCAGCCCCCGGCGGCGGAGCGGCCCCGCGCCCCGGGCCGGAGCGGCCGCGCCCCGCGCAGCGCGGCG